CCAGTAAAGCAAACAAATCCCAGCCTGAAGTCAATGTGTGTCTTTTCTAGAACACAGCTGAACTACCTGCTCTTACACTATCATCACAAGACAAAAACTGGAGCAAAGTTAAGCAGTTCTTACTTTCCTAGAATGAACTCTGGAGCAATGAATGCTGGACAAATTCTGTATTTTACCCTGGAAGATTACTGTTGTGAGAAGACAGAACTCATGTTTTTTGCAGAAGATACACTGCCAAACCCTGCCAGTACAGCACTGATACACTCCCCACGTCAGACTGCCTGCGGTCAGCAAGGAGGTGAAGCACTCTGCTTGGTGACTTGCGAGGCCAGGAACACAACGTTGGCTTGCTCAGGCGATTCACTCTTGAACAGCAGCAAGCTTTCTACACACACTTGACAGATACACAAAATCAGTATTTTTTTTATTGAGCAATACGTTAAACATTGGTATTTTTAGGAAAGATAGATTACTTTTTATCCTATGAAACCCTACACAGCTAGCAGAAATGGAGAACAGAGATCCCTGGTATTTTGGGGGCCACTTAACAAGACAGTATCCTTCAGATATTTCTTTATATTATAAGCAGAGCAACTACAGTTCAGGTTCTGTCATTAAAAATAAAGTTTTTCATAGTGCCTTTTACCTGCTTTTACCCTGTGACTACATCAAAACATGGCTGCCCAGAAAAAAAACATCCTACAAGACATATTAAATTAATGATGCAGTTTTACTGAATGTGACTTTTGCAGAGACACAGCTGTTATTCTGTATCACTGCTTTAAAGAAGTCAGGACCATAGACAAGAACTCAGCATCCACCACCTGGATCTCTCAAAAGAAGCCAAGACAATTTAGAGTATATCACAGAATTTGAAGGAACATCCAAATAACTCAACAGCAACTGTTTTCTTAAATTAAGTTAAATATCTCTGAAATACAAATACATCAAGCTTCTAAACACATTTCAGTATTAAATGCTCTTTTGATATACAGGGCCAGATTTTCAGAGAAGCTCAGCAAGCAACACCTTTAGCTGCCTCTGAAGCCTGCATACGGACTTAATGCCAAAATGGAACCAAACTCTCCTCCCAAAAATCTGACCTTAACAGGAAATCTCAGTTTCCCTTGAAAAATCCGGTCCGGTAAGCCACCGCAACAACCGATCTTTATCTACAAGTTTTGAGAAGGAATTTGCTGTCATTTTAGGTATTACTGAAGAAACAGGGCTGCTCATTTGGAAAAATAAAGATACTAGAGACTTAGAACAGGATGCAACAAGGCTTTTCTCACTCTGTTTTGAAGAAAACAACTATTCAGTTTTTCTCTCAAGCAGAAGGGGTTTTCTGGGTTTGGAGACAACACAGAGACGCTGGAGCACGTGACATGGAGCAGACAAAATGCCAGTGTGATGAAACAAAACACTGGGTCATGTCGATGCTCTAGTAACAAAAATTTTCTGGGATAGCATTTCTCTCATCTATGTTAGTCTAATGTACATCTGTATAAAGCTTTTTTTCATTACATTGCTCATTTCAATCTCAATAAACTTGGCATTCACTTAAAATATAGGCATTTCTTTGCTTGAACATATAAATTATTGTTGGGGTCCTTGCTCAAACACTAGTCAGAAGATTCCAAAGGCTCTCAGATGGAAAAGCATTGCTGCCATGAATCTCATCACATCAAGTTTCTCCTTCTAGAATGTGGTCACCAACAAAATCACCAGAATGTTCTAAGCTCTAACAGTAAAACCTTCATTACTTGCAGTGACATGCAAGGGCCATGACAGCAATGAAGTTCTCAGATCTCACTTGAATTTTTCAGGACCAATTCTCTAACTGTAAATTAATCTCAAGACTTTCTGTGAAAGATATTAACCCAATAAATGCATTGCCAGATCTACTATTTAGAATATAACTATAACACCTTCAGTTAGTTTTATGATAATGGCATGACAGACATCAGGACAGAATTGATTTCTTTTTCATTCTGGCCCTTTGCTTGAAGCACTAAATATTAATCAACTTCAAATGTAAATAGATAAATAAAGAGTATTTGTGGCATCAAAACTGGTGGTGGTAATTACTCTCAGCATTTCTAGGAGGCAAGACTTTGGTAGTTTCAGTCTTGAGCTACTGTAAGAATACTATCCCCTGACCGGTAACTGTGACTGTTGTCTGGACCCTCACCACATAAAAGCTTCACACTCAGGTTGCAGTGCAAAGCGTATCCAGAAAGAGGTAAGTAAATCACTGCATGTGAAGTTTTACAAACAAAACTAAACCAACACAGACAAAATACAGAAGAGGGAATACTTAAGTCAGTCCATCACTAGGACACCATGAAAACGTTAAGGAAGCTTTGGTAGCTAAAAGTAGCAGCATGCTAGTGTGCTCATGTCTGCCTCCAGAAGGAGCACTAGTAGTTACTTAATCTTATATAAAACTTTTATTCAGAGACAAAGATTCCTATTAAAATTCATCACCATTACCTGCTGCAGTCTTGGAGTTGTTTTTTCACTGTCAAAGCGCTATGCCTTTGCCAGAGTTCCATCAGAGCAGGAAATCATCAAATCACCTCAGTGCTTCACTGTTCCAAGCACTCCTCTAAGGCAATAGGTTATCGTTTAATTTATTGCTATCAGTTTTAAAGCCAAGCACATACTACACATACTGCACTAAGGAAAGAATCCAGCTTTCGTAATGTGATCATCTGTATGAAGCTGCAGGGAGGTCAGTGCTGTTTTCTCTGTTTGTTAAAGAAACAGTGTAATTTCACAGAACACTATCAATAAATATATTCTTACCCAGCTAGCAGAAATGGATAGATATGCTGTACAGCTAGCAGACACCACCACTGCAGAACATGTAGTGCCTGAACCACTGGACTCCAGACAATTATTACAAGATCTCTCTCTCTCACACACAGACTAAATGGAAAGTTAAAAATACACACTCAGGGCAAGTTTTTGGGGGAGTTGTTTGTTTGTTCCCCCCCTCCATGTGCAGCACCAAATACCAGGTGCTCTAGAGGGGGAATTCTCTCTGCCCACATGTGATCAGGTATGATCCTTCCTATTAAGTCAACATTACTTCGTTTTTGTACTCAAGGAAGTAAGTTGGCAATGCAGTGTCCTCCTAGTCACACGGCACTTCTGTAACCTCAGAATTTAAGAA